CTTTAGTAGTTCCGGAAGAGAGAGCTCTGCCTCTAACCAAAGTGCGCAGGAACTAAACGGTTCAAAGTAACTAGACAAAAAACAGCTTCTCTTTTTATTTTGTAGCACTTGACTAATCACCGCGTCGAAGAACAGGAAGTTGTATGAGGCAAACCACCTGTGGAGCCAAGCTAATGACGTGAGTTCAAGGAAGCGAGATAAGCTGAGAATAGTAGCTAATAACTCTTTAACGAGTGCATTTTGCAACGGGAAATGTAACTCTTTCAAGTATTTGCAAGCTGCAGTTTCCACTCTGTGCGTTCCGCGTTCTTGATTCACTACCGAATAAAGATACGGAAATTAAGGTGAACACTCTAAAACGTCAATCCACAATGACCAAAGTGACGCTTGTTAAGATATACAATGATTGGGGACGAGAAACGTTATAACAGCATTTCGGGACGCAAATAGAAATGAAGAAATTGCACATCTCTCATTCTGCGACATTTATGAAAGGTCACGTTTTAAAGCATCAGAGACCGTTTCCTTTCAATAAAGCTTTTGAAGACGAAATTGTTAGCCTCTGTTTTCGAAGAGGACAATACGTGGATGCGCAGGATACTCCACTGTGTACTCCACCTCAAAACGGCCGCTTGAGTTTTTCAAAGCAATTACTCGAGAATGGAGCACATGGGAGGTCGAGTAAAGCTGAAAATTCCAGGCAAACTTTGCAGGCTTCTATCACTGTATCTTTAACAAAACATATTTCTGAATTTTTCTTGCAATTTCGGATCTGAACTGTGCACAACCGCTTTGTACTGCTCTCGCCGTGGCAACGCAACGTTGAAGAACAATAGAAAAAATTGAGAAAATAATACCACTTCACGCCCTACCAGAAATTCAAAAATTTGGCGATTCCACACACGAGAACTAATCTCTAAGTAGTAGAAATAATTGTAATGAATTTTGAAAAACGGCGAAAGGGTTGTACATTTTATTTTAGGTTACCCCACTGTACATCGCAGCACAGAATGGTTACGTGGAGGTAGTAAAACACTTGGTCGCCGTCGGTGCTGATGTGAACGCAAGAGATACAGAAAAAGTGAGTGAAAAGCTAAAACTTTTATAATTTTTTATTTCTTCCTTTAAAATTCTTAAATATCCTGTTCTAACTGCTGCCTTTGACAGTCCGTCCTCGCTGGTCTCTCTTGCTTGCAGCTGTTCTAGTATAATTCTGACCATTCAGAAATCAGTGAAAATAATCAGTGAAGCTACAATACATTCATGTCGTCTGCTATGAATCAGGAACTCAGATATGCACGAGTAACAATTATTGTTGAAATGTTATAAACATCTAGAATGAAATTTAATAGGTGTTGAAGAGACTCTGCTTCTTCTTTCTTGTGCACTGCATTGGGCAGCCCAGAAGGGTCACTTGGAGGTCAGAGAACGCTTGCTGGAAGTGGGCGCCGATGCAAATGCAAGGGGAAGAGGTTGATGCAACGAGGGATCTGAAAAATTTGTAATTTTGTAATTTCTTTCAGCAGTGTTTGTAATGCTTTTCTGCAAGTGCTGTATTAAGACTCTTATACGAATAATCTTTATTTTGTACCGGATAAGCGACCTGCTGCAAAAATGTAAAAAAGGAATTAAGAAACGGACAGAATTTCCGGGTAATCCGCTGCAAAAGTGAAAATTTTTTTAATCCGCACTAGCAGATCGTATTCTGAACGTTGAAAAACACTCTTGAAGAATTTGCAACTGTTTGAAGAGAGCTGCAGAGCTTCAGTATTGAGCAGAGGGATAGTTCTGCCTCTAACCAAAGTTCCTCCACACTAAATGGTTCAAGGTAACTAGAGAAAAAAACAGCTTCTCTTTTTATTTCGTCGCACTTGACTGATCACCGCGTCGAAGAACAGTAATTTGTATGAGGCAAACTACCTGGAAAGCCACGCCGATGACGTTATTGCAAGGAAGCGAGATAAGCTGAGAATAGTAGCCAAAAACTCTTTTAAAAGTACATTTTGTAACTGGAACTATATCTGTTTTAGTTATTTGCCAGATGCAGTTTGCACAGTGCGCCTTCGGCGTTTTTCATTTACTACCGAATACGGATATAGAAATTAGGTAGAACACTCTAAAATGTCAAGGCACGATGACCGAAATGACCCTTGTTAGGATGGGCAACGATTTGTTCCCACAAACGTTGCAACAGCATTTCGGGTCGCAAATAGGAATGTAGAAACTGCACATCTTGGATGCCGCAATAGATCGAAACGGTCGCGTGTTAACGCATCAGAAACCACTTCGTTTCGAGAAAGCTTTTAAAAACAAGACCGTCAGCTTCTCTTTTCAATGAAGATACTACGTTTATTGCTTAGGTTGATTCACTGTACACTCCACTCCAGAACGGCCCCCTGAATTTATTGAAGCATTTACTAGGGAATAGATCACACGTAAACCCCTGAAGATTTCAAAGAAACCTCGCAGACTTCTATCTTCCAGTCTTTTAACAAAAGGTATTTCTAAATTTTTCTTCTGATTTCGAATCTGAACGGTGCGCAACCGCCTTGTTCCGCTCTTGGCACAGCAACGTAACGGTTGAAACAGAAGAGAAAAAGATGAGAGAGTAATACCACTTTACGTC